CACTACCACTACCACTACCACGACGAGTACAACTAATACTACCGCTTCCACTGCCACTGCTGCTGCTATTGCTACTGCTGCTACTGCTGCTACTGCTGCTGCTACTTCTGCTTCTACTTATACTTCTACTTCTACGACGATCTACTACGGCCACTCGTACAGATGCAATTACTGCTCCCTCTCCCACCGCTGCTAGTCGTGGTAGTGGTGTTGCTGGGGTCCAAGACATCCGTGACAATTCTTGAGATATGGAGGCCTTGTGCTCCAGCTCTTTCCAGGAGGACGAACACAGTACAACGGACATGCATTTGTTCTACCCTGTTGTGTTAGTCATTTGTGAAAGCCGCGAGGGAATCGAACGGCAAGCATGAGGGGTCAACCACATACGAGCATTGTAAAGGAAGTCTCAAGCGCATGGGCAGGCAAGCCTGGGGCCGCATCTGTCGCAGCCACTTACGGTCCGTGCTGCTACTGTCATTGGTGAGGAACGACAGGTAGATAATGTCGGCCAGGATGAGTTCGCCATTGCGTTTCGCTTGCTTCAATATCCGGATGGAAACGAACGAGCCCGATCCCGCCGTCAGCATCTCAGCATTTCCACGCACTATGATTGTGGCCGTCTGCTCCGTGCCTGCAAGCTTGATCATGCTGCCTTGTTTCTCTTATCCGCAAGGATAATTGGAGCAACAGACGGGACGGCGTGGCAGCGAAACTTGCAAGCTCGGGCGCGGACATCATCGGATTGCAGGAAGTCCTTCCAGAGCAGCTTACCTTTCTTACGAGGACACTTGGGCCGCTTGGATATCAGCACGTTGGAACTGGCCGTGGCATAGATGGTGATGACGAAGCCAGCCCGATATTCTTCAAACGGGACGTGTTCGATCTTCGGGGTAGCGAGCAGCGCTGGTTGTCCGACACTCCTTCAGTTCCGGGTTCCAAACTGGAGGGGGCAGGTTGCCCGAGAGTCGTCACAGCCGCCTTGCTCAATGTGAAGGCCTACACCAAAGATGTGTTCATTTTCTGCTGCCATCTCGACCACCATGGCATGGTGCGTGCTGCATGTCGCTGCTCCAACAGACTGCCGGTTCAAGCACGACGAGCTGAGATCATGTTGGAACAGATAGATCACTTCTGTGTGTCCCCATCTGCTCCTCGTATCGTTCTAGGCGATTTCAATTCGTGGCGTGGTGCTGGAGCACATGCGGTGCTTTCTGATCGTGGTTACAGGGATGCCTCAGTGGAATCTGGTGAATTGGACGATACGCCCACCTTTACTGGCTTTCGAAGTGGTAACATTGTGCGGCGTGCCGGGGAGAGATTGGCGAGCGCCCACATTGACTGGATATTTGCCAGCGGTGGAGTGGCCTTGTCAAATTACAGAGTGGGCCCCAGTGTCTACACTGCTGATGATGGGACTCAGCGCAACCTGAGCGATCACATGATGATTATGTGCGACGTCTCTTTAGATGCCATCGAAGGCTGACTGACCCGGGTCGTCGACACAGACACATCGTGCTTTTCTCGTATACCTGTGGGCGCATGTGTACTGACTGCGTTTGAACCGGCTTACATGAACAATTGGCTGCGCCCCAATCCGCAAGGTATTTTTACAAGGCGAATTCACTGATAGGCCTTTTCATATAATAATAAAATATTTCATCTTGAAATTCCATATGCTTATAAAGTAATAGGAAAAATTCATAATATGAAAAATATAAGAGATAAGGAATTATTTTCTACTAAAAAGAAAAGGGCTTGGGCTTTTCTCAAATAAATGATTGAAATTTCCCAAGATTAAAGAGAGATATCGAATAAATGTAGAATATAGAATAAGAAATAAAATCCAAATAATTTCAAAAAATTCATATATAATATAAAATAATAAAAAAAATTCTTAAGAAAATTTGTTATTCTTCTATGATTTCATATTAAATAAGGATTCTGGAAGGTCTATATAAAGATATATGCGACTAAAGATATCGGGATATGATATAATACTATTATTTATACTTTATAAAATATATTATTTTGGTTAAAGTATGAATTGATTAGATATAATAGATATATTTAAGAAATTTAATAGAAATTCGATTTATAATATAATTTTGCTAGAGATATTGATTTATAGAATTTGACTTCTAAAAAAATATGAGTTTTTGGTCGAGCGGAAATTTCGATATTAAATTTATCTTTATAATTCTATCTGAATCTTAAATTCTAAATAAATACGAATTATTTATATACATATGAAATTGTTAGGCAAGTAATTAAAAAAAATTATATTAAATATATATTTTATTCGACTTCTATTATAATATATATGATGGAGTCGTTGACGAGACATTGGATTTAATATATATAATTGAAATTTATTGGATTTTTGCGACTATAGAGGAATTCATTAAATAAATCAAATATTTGAATATTA